ATCGGCAGTTAATATAACCGTTCGGGAAGTCATGTCTCATACGGCGGGTCTTCGGATGAGTGTATTTCCCGACGATTTTGACAAATATTTGATAAGACGTGCGGATAATGTGAGCCAAACCATCAAACCATTCAAAGATATAGACTTATTGTCCAAACCGGGCACTGCTTTTAATTACTCCAACTATGGCTACCAAATGGTTGGCGCTTTCATTGAGTCCATACTTAATAACACATATGAGAATGAAATGAAGAAAATGTTTACACAATTAAACATGAATTCAACATTTGCTGAGAGACGTGAAGCCATTTACAAACACAGACCACAATACTATCAATTATCAAACCTAATATCCGGGACATTACAAAAGTGTCATATAATCGATGAATTGGTTTCATACGAGGGCTGGTGGCCCGCAGGGGGTATCATATCCACCGCTGAAGATATGATAAAATTCGGGAACGTTATGATAGCCGCATATAAAGGAATCCTACCATTAGGTGAATACACTTAATTCCCTGACACATATATAATATATTAATTTGAAATATTTTTGTTTACCAATAGATTTTATATCTCAACAAACAGTGAAAGAGTTGTGGAGACCGGAGACTATTGGCATTCAATTGCCCAAAGAAATGGGTGATAATGACTACGGTATGAGATTTATATAGTTAATTGTGGACATACAGTAGATTTATTTATATTTAATTTTAAATTGATCAGGCAAAGCCTGGTTCATACAAAGAAATCCGAGTCCATTTAAGGAAGTCATATGGCATCCGGGTGGCATTACCGGCACCACTACCATGCTCAGTCTATTCCCTGGTGAAAATATGGTTGGCGTTGCATTTGTTAACAGAGGCGCAGTGGAAGGCGAAAAGCTTGTGCTGGATGTCGCCAAAATGTTTAAGCAATTCACATAATTTCAATTAAATACTTTATTTCAAATATATTTGTTTAATTTTGAATAATAATCTTATAAAACTTTATTTATAATTTATAACAGTTGGCCTATAATTATTGTTTAAATGAATTTGACTTATTTTTTAATTTGAAATTAACGTATTAATAAACTTAATACGGTATTTACTATTGATTTTGTAATTACTAAATACTGTATAATGATACAATGGCAACTTTAAATACAAATTTGTAAATGAAATTCGGGTTCAAAAAAATTATATTATTTCAATATTCATGGTTAACTTTTTTTGTATTAAAAAATTATATATATTGTAGTGTTGGACAGATATATTGTATGACTTATTTGCTATGACTTTCATACGTTTATGTTAACAGCAGTCAAACAGTAAACTTCGGGTCCGGCGCCTGCTTTTAATGGAGTTCCTCTTTTCAATGATTTCTACTCCCTTTCCCCCATTTATCTGATATAATAATAAGTTATTGAAAAAACATCTTAAGTAAACTTCATTTCTACGACCTTATATATAGTAAAATTATCTTTAAAAATAAAATTAATATTTTTTATTTCGTTAGTAAGTTAATAAGTTTAAATTGTGACCAACAATTTTCATAAGTGTTTTGAGTTTGAAATGATAGCCTAACAAATAATTTAAGTTTGACAATATTGTAATTACAGCAAAACAATTTGACTAAAATTCATTATTTGCACAATGTTTCAATATTTATTGAAACCAATGTCAAATAAGTAAGGTCTTGATGCCCAACATGTGAAGTATATGATTCATT